TGAATGTCGAACAATTCTTTTTGGCACACTGACTGTGTATATTTTCCATCTTCTTTTTTTTTAAGTTTTTATTGTGAATTGAGTGATAGTTTACATGGGAGAACATTGGTTTTACACTCATTGTTTATTGCAATGATTATAATCTCCTCTGTGCATCATCATTCAACAGTATTTGCTTTTATTCTCTCTGTTTTTTGTTTTTGTTTTTTAAGGGATGTACATAAAAACATTTAAACAACCAAAGGGCATATTCTGCAAGCCTGCCTCCTGGCCGTCAGCACACAGCCATTCTGTTTCCATGAGTCTAGAGTCCTCAGCTGCTCTATCTCTCCATGTCCTCATCTCTGCCTCCATATCTGGTGTCGCTGCTTCTCTGGATAGGGTCCCACCCTCCCATCTTCTTTTGATGCTTCCTGCATCGTTTAATATGTTACCCATAGAATCCTTCAATATTGCAACTTGAGGCTTGAATCTTTTCTTCGCTTGTTGGTTTGTACTAGATTAAAGTATAGTTTTGTCTTAAAATTTAGGGCATTTCCCATAAATATCTGGATTCCTGCCTTCTCTGGAAAGATCAGATGATCTGCCAACACTGGCAGCTGGATGCAGCAGTGGCTGAGCCCTTTGCACCAGCTCTCCAGTTCCCCACACCCCACATTCACTTCACCTGCTTCTCTCCTGGGGCCTGGAGTCTGGACAGTTCAGATTTCAGCGATTGTCACCAATGCTGATGCGCATGCCCATGGGACGCGCATGCCCAGTTCATACCCACAGAGGTCATGGAGTCCCAAAGTGCCCAGGCATATGGCCCTAAGGGGTTGGTGTTGACTCTGAGATTTTGATATATGAGTGCCCAGGATCTGGATGTCTTTACCCAAAGCTCAGACACCAACCCCTCTCTTCTCCAGGATCCAAGTGTTCAAGCCCCACCCTACTCTCAATGGGCCTTTGTCCGTGACTGGGAAAGGCACGGGCAGAGGCTGACATCATGAAGCCTGAGGAGGGGGTAGGACTCCCCCTCCTCCTCCCAGCCTTCTCTGCTCTTTACTCCCTGGTCTGAGGGATTTCCCCACCCTCACTCCTGGGTTCTCCCTTGGGAGAAAGGACCCTCTCTCCCTCCCCATTGCTCTGGCCCAGAGGAGGGTGGAAGATGCACTAGTGTGACCCAACAGACCATGGTTAGACCTCTCCACTTCACACTGCCCCCAGTCTCCGGCTCTGGAACCCCTTGCAATGGAAACGGCCGCGTTGCAGTAGGATCACTGTGGAATTTGTACACAGAGTGTCTCACAAGCCCCGAAATGAAGACAGCCTTGGCTGAGCACCTTCTGTGTGTCAGGCACTGTTCTAAGGGACACAGTCATGAACAGGACAGACAGACAATCTGTCCTCTGGAGCTCTATGCCCTGGGGGTACTTTGTGAGTGACTCATGGCATAGAGAGTGCAAATGGGCAAGCAAGCTGAGGACTGTGGAGAGAAGAGATGGTGTGAAGTGGAGGGGCCACGCTGCTGTGCAAGGATTAGCAACAGCTTCCAGAACAGGTGGTATCTGAGCTGAAGAGCCTGGAGGCAGAGTGGGAAGTAGGTTGAGTGGGCTGAACTTTCCAGGAAGAAAGGGCAACACCAGCAAAGGCCTCGAGTCAGTTTAAGCGCCACAAGATATTCGAGGAACATGTTCATCCACCTTCTCCACACTGATCCAGCTTAACTCCGTGCCCAGAGCTAGTCTACAAATCAGGATCTATTGAGAATAAAAACAAAGCCTCTGTTCTCCTAGAGGTCATGTTCTAAGGAGAGGAGACAGTTAACAACACATCAGGTGATTTCAGATGACATTAAGGAGTCTAGAAGAAAATAGAGCAGGATGAGAGGACCAAGGGGAGGTGACGCTACAGAAAGTGGGGGTGTCCCCTCCTCTTGCCCACACTGGCCTCTGCTGGTTTCTCAGGACCAGGGTGACACCAAGATTCCCTACAAAGCCTTCTGTTCTCAACCTGAAATGTCCTGAGGGATTAGAAGCCCCTCCCAGGGACCCAGAATCATGATGCATGATGATGGGGGAGGCGAAACGAGTGTGGCAGCCATCCCCTCCCCAGCCCCATCCAGGAAGGAGCTAGTAGAACCCAGGCGTCAGGCTGCCCAGTCTGAGCCCCGTGGTGACAAGGGCCCCTTTGTGCCCCCATCCCCCAGGGGCAGGGAGGAGCTGGGCCCTGGAGGCAGGCGGCCCCTGGCACCCGGGGGGTGGGGGGGGAGGGGAGGGACCAGCAAGTGGGGGCCTAGACCCTGGGAGGCCAGGGGACTGCGAACTGGGCCTCGGAGCAGAGAGTGCAGGAGCAAGCTCATCTAACTAAGTACCAGTGGGAGCGGCTGGGGCAGGGGCACCCAGGCACGTGCCAGGTGAGAGAGGCTGCAGGTGGGTGGTCAGTGTGAATCACTGCTAATTTAGGGTGCTAGCTTGAGGACTGCTTTGGGAATGGGCTGGGGGCATGGCAGGGACAATGACTGGGCTTTGGGAAGAAACCACAGAGGCAAATAAGAAAGAATCCTTCCCAGGACCCAGTGTGGCTGGAAGTTCTGTAGGGACAGCTGACTTGAAGATCCCACATTTGGAGCAGATGGAGACGGAATGGTCTGGAACTGGGTGGGTTTCCAGGTAACCAAACACCTAGGGAGTCCTGGTGTGGCACTGTGGGTTAGTGTGCTGGACTGCAAAGTCAGTCTGAACTGCAAGGTTGGCGGTTCAAGCTCACCAACCACTCCTAGGAAACCCTATACAGACAGGGTCGCTATGAGTTGGAACTGACTCAACAGCACTTAACAACAACAACAACAAATGCCTACATCTGGCCATCTAGGAGATGGGTGGGGCAGTGGGTTGGGAGTGAGCAAGCGCTCACCACAGGTGCGTGTGCACGTTCATGTGTGTATGTATGTGACTCTTAGTCTGCATCGACGCTGCTCAATGATTTCTAGATTATTGTCTCCCACATGGCATTGGGCTTTTGGAAAGGAAACTTTTTAGATGTGCTTTTCCAAATTGTCACTTGCCTCCAGGCATGAAATTCTAAGACTACAGTTACACTGTGTATGTAGAGTCCTGGTGTAGCGCTGCAGGATAATGCACTGGACCTCAAGGTCGGTTTGAACCTCAAGGTCGGCGGTTCAAATCCACCAACCACTTCTCGGAAACCCTGCACAGGATCCCTATGAGTCGGAACTGACTCGACGGCACTTAATAACAACATGGTTATGTGGTGTGACCCTTTCAAGGGTCACAAATCATTATTACCTATAAAAATGTACCCATCTCAAGAGCCACTGTTTGCTCCCACTGGGAATGCATGTTTAACATGTCAATGCAGCCCAGGTGTCTGGCCCTGGGCTCTGTCTGTCTCCCGTCTTCTTCCTGTTGCATGTGCATGTACCTGCCACGCGTCCATCAGCATGTGAGACTGTATATGTTTCTACTCTTGGGTATGTATGTGCAGGTCCATGTGCTTGGTCCATATGTATTTGTGGACCTGTGTGTGTGCGAATATATGTGTGTGGTGGGGGTCCATGTTTGTGTGTGTAGCTGTGTGTATATCTGTATGTGTGTGTGGGTCCAGACAAGTGTGTTGTGTGCTTGACCACATTGTCCATGTGTGTCAGATATGGTGGGTGGGAGGAAGGGGTCGAGGTGCATCTGTGAGTAACCATAATTGTATCTTATCTGCACATTGTGATGTGCAGGCACCAAGGCCCAGGGCCCACATATGTGTTCAGGGTCCCGATTGGGTATCTGGATAAGTGTCTGTTGTGTGAGCAGGCTGGATCTAAACCCATCACATTTCATACTGGTGTGTGTATGTGTCTGGCTGCTTGCGTCTGGATACATGGGAAGATGGAGAAGTGGGCGGGGAAATTCAGCCACTTGGAAATCTGGCTTCCATCCTGAGACAACTCACTAATACCACATCCCAGTCCTTCCTGGCCAGGGGTGTCTGCCTCCTCCCTCAGCCTCCACCTACCCCAGAGGTCCCCTGGGATGAGGCAGCCTCCCCCTGAGGGAACAGGGCTCTTTTGTCCTGGGCACTGACTTCTGTTGAGAGTGGGGACATCAGGGGCCGTCTGTGGGGAGGGAGAGGGCGGCAGGAATTCACACGGCATGTTGGGAATGCTGATGCTGTGAAACCCAGTCATTGATGGGACCATGTCTCTGCCTGCCACCCCCAGGGCTCAGCCGTGGGACATCTGCTCCCTCACCCCACTCATCACAGCACACCACCACTATCCCCCCTCCCAATGTTCTGCCACGCCCTTTTCTTTCCCTACAGTGCTTCTACATTCAGGCTCAGGAGGTGGGGTTGCTGTGTAGAGTAGCTGCTAGGCTATGTGGGAAGGTCCCAGGCTATCCCAGCCAACAGATGCAGCTTTTCAACAGGCCTGTGCCACAACCCATGGTGGGTACAGAAAGAAGGAAACAGTCGGCATCCAGGCCACCTCCCCGCTGTTCTAGGTTGGCTGGCTGACCCGGCGTCAAGGGAGACCGGAAGACATTTCCAACTCAGGTAGACTGAGGTGAGAAGCAGGTTATTCACTTCCCCTTTCTCTTGCCCTCCCTGTTTCCCACTTCCCACTGGTCCAGCCGTGCTGGAGACCCACCCCCAGGGTGTGAAGGGGTTGAAGATAATTATCAGCATATCACTCTCAAGCTGAGTAGTTAAGACTCCAGACTGGGAGCCAGGCAGCCCAGACTAGAAATCTAATCTGCCACTTACCCGCTGAGTGGCCTTGGGCAAGTTACTTAACCTTTCTGGACAGTAGCTATAAAATGGAAATAATCATTGCACCTACTTCAAAGAGACCAGATGAGTTAATAAAGGCCTGGCCTCGGGTCAAGGTCATCGTGAGGCAGCTGACAGCAGAGCAGGCCCTTTGCGGAAGCCATGACTGGAGCACCCTCTTCCCTTTCCCTGGCTGTAAACTTCTCCTCTCCTCTCTCTAGCTACTGCTCACTTGCTGTACAAAATGATATTCCTCACGACACTGCCCTTATTTTGGATTATGATTTCAGGTAATGGCTTGTGAGTGGAGGTTGCTGGGGAGCAGGGATGTTGTTTTTGTGGATCTTTGCACCACCAGGCTGGCGGCAGGTGACAGGTGCAGCTGGTGGTGGTGGAGGGGAGTTTGGGCAGATCATGCCTCTCAGCTTCTATGCTTGCCCACAGCTTCTCGAGGAGGCCACTGGGGTGCCTGGATGCCTTCGTCCATCTCGGCCTTCGAGGGTACGTGCGTCTCCATCCCTTGCCGCTTTGATTTCCCCGATGAGCTGCGGCCTGCTGTTGTGCATGGTGTCTGGTACTTTAACAGTCCGTACCCGAAGAACTACCCCCCAGTGGTCTTCAAGTCCCGCACCCAAGTGGTCCATGAGAGCTTCCAGGGTCGAAGCCGCCTCCTGGGAGACCTGGGCCTTCGCAACTGCACCCTCCTGCTCAGTAACCTCAGCCCCGAGCTGGGTGGCAAGTATTACTTCCGAGGAGACCTGGGAGGCTACAACCAGTACACCTTCTCAGAGCACAGTGTCCTGGACATCATCAGTGAGTACTTCAGAGGTGGGACAAGTACTTAAGGACTGGGGGCAGCACTGGGGACAGCCAGGGGTGCAGCAGAAAGTCCAGCAAGCAGCCTTCTCTGGCGGGTACAAACCTCGATGCCCACAGAGACCCTGCCCAGGACAGAAATAAGCTAAGCATAGCCTCTTGTCCTGAAGACAGTGGGTGCTCTAAGTCTTCTAGAAACACCTGGGGGACAGGCATTGGGGCCCAGGGGCAGGCTCTCTGGGTCCTTGCATTAGTTGGTTATCTTGGGCAAATTACTTAGGTGACTGGGACCTCAGTTTCCTCTTCTGTAAAATGGGGATAAGAACAGCACTTAGCTCGGTAGGTTAATAGCTGTCAAGTGGTCAGAGCAGGACACCTGCATCTGGCTAACATTCTAGATGGGAGCCTGTATAGGGCTTCCAAGGAGTGGTTGATGGGTTGAACCAACAACATTTCAGTTCAAACCGACCTTGCGGTCCAGTGATTATCTTAGAGCACCACACCATAGAGTCCTGGTGTGCCGCTAGAGGATAAACATGGGATTGCTAACCACAAGGTCAGTGGTTCAAATCAACCAGCCGCTCCTTGGAAACCCTATACAGGGTTGCTATGAGTTGGAGCCAACTGTGCAGCACCTAACAACAACAACAATTATATATATATATATTGTTGTTGTTGTTAAGTACTGTGGAGTTGGTTCTGACTCATAGTGACTCCGCACAGGGTTTCTGAGGCTATAAATCTTTACGGGACCAGAACGCCTCATCTTTCTTCTGTGGAATACCTGGTAGTTTCAAACTGCCAACCTTGAGGTTAGCAGCCCTATTCATACTCACTACACTATATTTGTTGTTGTTAAGTGCCGTCGAGTTGGTTCCGACCCATAGCGACCCTGAACAGGGTTTCCAAGGGTGTAAATCTTTACAGGAGTAGAAAGCTTCATCTTTCTCCCGCGGAGCAGCTGGTAGTTTCGAACTGCTGACCTTAAGGTTGGCAGCCCAATTAATAACCACTA